GTTTTTTGATCTAATGTTATTTGAATTGTCATATTAAACCATAAAAAGCAAATTTTTTCATGCAAGCTGCTAATATTATTGAGTTCTTTTAATCTATGGAATTGCTTTCGCCGAATAAAATTAATAAACAAATTTAAATCTTGTTGAATCCTACAAATCTTTGAAAAATAATAGTTATAATGCATATATAACAAAAATGAATATCAAATTCATTATTGTTTTAACCACAGTTAGTATCACCGTCTATTTCACCAATCTAGACAATAAATCATACAACTAATATATACTAATTTTTAATACATACTAATTTTTTTTATTTATCATATAAGTTTTATAATAATAATTATATTAGTTTTAATGTACATTAGATATTAATACACTAGTTATCTAATGTACAATAAAACTAAAATATTTGTTGTAAACCAAATAAACATTAAATAGGTACCGTAATTAAAAAGGTACCATTAAATAGGGTTACTTTAATCCACTTTATTGCAATTTTTAGTTATAACGATCAATTTTGCTCTATTCAAAATTTTATTTTAATTTTTTTTACTCAAAATATTTTTAAAGATATCAACCTTTAACTCAAACTTATTGATTTATAAAAAAAATTAAAAACGGCTATACTTTTTAGTTTTTCAAAATGTGGCATCATGTTACCCTGGGCTGGTGTTTCTTTAAGCCATGTATACTTGTTGTGCTTTTTTGTTATATTTACTTACAAATTACTTAGGTGAATACCTCCTTAATGTTAAAACAAATACTTATTTAAAATTTACTTAAAGAATTGCTTCTATATTGTTAAAACAATTGTCTTTGGATCTATTTAAAGCAAAAGAAAAATAGAAATTATACAAAAGACTTTGTATATTTTATTAATTTTTTTTTGTTCTGTTATAATAAAACAATAACTAAATTGGTAGGTAAATAACTACTACATATAAGCATTTAATGTTTAAAAATAATTTTTTCAATCAGATTTAAAAGCCCGCAGCCTAGACTTATATTGACTGTTAGAAGCTGCACTAGAGATATCACAATTAATTTTTTTTCGTTTCTGGGGCACTTCTAGGGCATTTTTGACTAGTACAACTTCTGATTCTTCTGAGTCTGAACAAATTCCTTTTCCTGGTGGAACATTTAGTTTCTTTTTGCGCTTTGATATTAAAGGTACAAGGTCTGCACGATTATCATTTAAATGACTAATAAATGCTTTAGAAATAAGGCTTAGATCAACAGATGATCGATCCTGCAGTGGCAAACGATTAGTAAGAGGTTCTTTATTACAAGGATAAATTCCACACTTAGCAAAACCTGATATTAAATTTTTATTAGAAGTGTCTTTTATTAATTCCAGTACTTTTTTTAGAAGTGGTGGAAAGCGTCCTTTTGGAAGTGTTGTGGATTTTTTACCTGCAGGTGATTCTTTCCACAGAGTCAAATCAGTTTTCCACTTCCTTTTTAGTGGCCTAAAATATGCCACATCTAAAGGCTGTGTTAAATGCGATGAGTTAGGTGGTAAATACGCAAATATTATGTTATTTACTTGACGTAATTTTGAAAAATTGACTGATGTGTGATGATAAATTATCCCTAATAAGAACTTTTTTTCCAGTCTGTTTTTTCAGCATAGGAAGAAGGTGAGCAGTAACCACTCCTCAAATGTGACACTATCTAACCATCCGTGTTTTGTGCGATTATACCTAGTTCCATGGGGAACGTTTTCAGTTCACGTTGACCACAGATTTTCTGATTTGTAGACAACGTAAGGTGGCATTGTACATCCAGCAGCGTTGCCACAAAACATGACTGAAATATTGGACTTTGATGAGTTCATTACTCTTTCAGGGTATTAACAGCCTCTACGACACATAATTTTTTGCGGCCTGGGTCATCACTTAAGTTTGTTTTATCATAGTTGTAAATATTTTCTGCTAAAGTGAGTGAAATTTTCAAATTGTTTAAATATTATACTGTAATATATATTGGAAAAAGGATCAATACAGTAGTTTAAAAGTGAAAAAATTATCAAAATCGAACAATTCCTTTAAAGGTTATGAAGGTTTAACTACCAACTTTTTGACATGAAAAAATTTTTATCTCAGGACATAAACCTACATATAAATAATAAAACTGCAAAAAACTAAAACAAAATTTATATTAGTTTTTGAGATATCTTTGCCAAGATTTTTGCATATTTTTGACCTAAAACCACCTGTTTTTACCCAAAAATTTAAAAAAAAAAAAAAAAAAAATTTTTTTTTTTAATGCCTTTATTGCGTTTGAAGTAAAAAAATCAATCTAAATTATGTTGAATACAAAAAATTTTTTTTTAGTAGTCTACCACCTTAACTATTAATATTCTTATAAAGAGAACTTTCTAGTTAATCTCCTGTTTACAACTATATGTTTAAATTAGAGTAATATAGTAATTTCAAGCAATATAACCATCAAAATGTATGGTTTTTTACAAAATACAATTATATTTACGGCATCACTTAAAAGAAAATATATGTTGTAAACCTGAAATTGTAGATTTATATATTAGAAATCCATGCGAGAATTTTTAGATCATATGATTTATCATGGATGAAGGCTATCTAAGAGTTTGTTACTTGGTTTTTTTAATCAAAAAGAAGATTCAGAAACCATTATGGATTTTTAAAATATATTATTGTCGGTGTTATGTTATTAATTAATGCGTAAAAATTTAAATATTGATATTATATCATACGTTTGGTACGGTAGAAAATGTAATTTTGTTAATAAATTTTAAACTTTTTTAAATCTGGAAAATTTTAGTTCAAGATAAAGTATTAAAAACGTGTGTAAGACGTTTAAAAGACGTCTTTTTTACGTCTGTGTCCTCTGTGTCCTCATTCAGTTCAAAAGTTATAGTCTTAACCTAATTATATGCGTATAACAAAAGCTTAGTCATCATCGTTGTGTCATTTTCCAACAAATTTTATTTATTTGTGGAACAAAATATTGTAACACAGTGAGATTGTAGAAATGGCAGCCCTAAAAAATTGAAACACTTGGTACAGAACACTTACAGCCGTTGACCGTTACCGTTTACCGTAACATTTACCGTGTTTTATTTCTAAAGATTTAAAGAAGAAAAAATTACTCCAAATTGGCAAACCATGAATCAAAATGACATCATACGTACCTTTGGTCAACCGTTTTAGAATTGAATAATTTAGCTACATTTACATTTGTATAATTTGTAGCAAAGTCTTGAAGTCTTTTCTAAACTTAATGCAACAAAAGGTTATTGGTTTCCTTACTAAATTAACAAAATACACAATTAGCAAAATTTATTAAAAAATTACTAGATATAGCAAAAATGATTAACAATTATCCTTATCCAACTGCTAAATTCTCATACTTATTTTTTAATTAGCAAAAAGCAAAATATACAAACGCTAATATTTTTTTTATAATTGTGTGTTGATGATGATAGATTATTAATAATTTTTTTTTCATAGTTTTTTTTAAATGTGCATAAAATTACTTTTATTAACTTTTATTGTTAATTTATTAAAGCACAGGAGTTATTAAAGAAAGGAGGATTTTTAAAAGTTTAAATCTTTTTTAGTTTGTTTAAATCTTATTTTACTCATTTTTTGTTGTTGTTTTTTTGTATTTTGAAATTAGTTACTAATAGTTTCGTTTTTTTTAGCATCACATACAGATAAATTGAACAAAGATATTGTGATTCTAAAAGAAGTTAAAAAACTTATTCAACAATGCGTTGATGCTGACTTATTTGAACAATCAGAGATTGAAAATAAGTTAAATACATTAATATTTTTAAATAATATTAAAAAGACTGATTGGCCAATAGTAAGATGCAAAATCTAAAGGGTCAAATAATTCTTCAACTGACTTTATGAACTGATTATATTATTATCTGGCAAAAATTCGCTTGTATTATTTTAGCAAAACTAAACTTAATTGTTAATATTTGTAGTTATCACGTACCAATATTCCACTTTTACACGTAATAGAAACTGTATGTATAGTGCGTATGTTCATATTTTTAAAATTTAGCGTTATATACAGTTATTTTATCTCATGTTTGTATTAAGCTTATGTATATAATTTAATATAATTATTTTAATTTATATGTATATATGTATATATATATATATATATATATATATATATATATATATATATATATATATATATATATATATATATATATATATATATATATATATATATAATATATATATATATATATATATATATATATATATATATATATATATATATATATATATATATATATATTAGGGTGTTCCAAAAAAATGACTTTTTTGAATTTCAACTAACATTGCTTTTCATAAGGTGCCCCAACCTTGATATTACTAATAATTTTTTTTTTTCATGATTAGATCACTCCATGACTTCCCTCAATGGGTCCAAAGGTCATTTTTTGCCCGTTTTTTGCCCATATTTCGGACTAATTGAGGGGAGTGTTACCATTATCCAAATTAATTTTTCTTTCTTTTTTTTTGTTTTTTATCTTTTTGAAGAAAATAAAAATATAATGTTAAGCTTAATTTGTTTTTTTATTTGAACAATGAAGATCAAAAAATTCAAAAACATTGATTTATTTTACTATATTTCACTACCTTTTACTACCTTTGTCCTATGTACCATTTTAATGTGTTTTCTGTTATATTTTAAATACGCGTATAATTGTTTCATTTTGTGAACAATTATATTTTACCTTGTGTATGCAATTTGATTTTTAACTTATTTTATATTTTCGGTTACCATTTATCTTTTTAGTAACTACATAACTTAAAAAAAAGTTATTTTGTAGTAAAATGCCACCAAAAAAGAAGTTGAAGCTTACTCGAAATAAGGCTGAAGTATTTCTAGTAAAGAAAGTTAGAGAAAATCTTTCATGTTATAAACTTCCTACTGGCATAGAGGTTTTGCAATACTACCTAAATCTAAGAAACTTGAATCCCAAGTAAAGAAAACGGTTTTAATTAGGTGTCATTTCGAAATTAATTCATTTGAGCTCAGATGCCCTCCACAAGCTGACTGTTGTGTAATGTCTAAATTGGTAAGGCCATGGAATCTTGCAGGGTTCCCTATCATAACCTTGGAAAATATCAGGTAAATTATGAATTTAAAATTTATCAACAAATTTATTTTTATCTTTATTTTAAACATTGAATAAATTTTGCATTTTAAAGAAAGAAGATTAATAAAATGGTGAACAACTATTACAAGTTAAAAAAGAATAGCAAAAGGAACAGCCCAATAGATACGAAAAGGAATGAGGCATTTTTTGAAGAAACGTTAAAATGCTTTTGGATTAGTAAAAAAAAAGAAGAACTAATTGAAGATATTATTAAAGACAGGAGAAGGGCATCCGAAGCCAAAAATGAAGATATTGTGTTTATCTTAGACCAAATTGGAAATAGAATAGGAAGAATAGGAACAAATGATAAAAGGTTTACGTACACTATTAAGAGATCCCACAAAAAATTGTGTTCCATGTTAAACATGGAGATTAAAGTAAACAATGGTAACAATCTATACAGTTTAGAAAACTCTTCAAGTAGTGATAATAATTCTGACTGTGAATATGTAGCAGATATAAAAAAAGAACAATCTACCTCTGTTGTTTTGTTACCAAAAAATATTTTAAAAAAAACAGCTCTCACAGCAATAGGTGAAGGACTTTCAGTTAGACAACACACTGCAATAGTGGCAAGTGTTATTGCTAATTCAGGAGGTGATGTTACTAATTTTGCAATATCTTCTTCAACCGCATTTAGAGTTGCAGAAGAAGTTGTAACTAAAGAGGGAGAAAAGATTAAAAAGCACGTTACTGATCTTGTTAAATCTTCATCATTACCAATTATTCTCCATTTTGATGGAAAAATAGTTAAGGAGTTCACAAGCGGAATAGAACATCAACTTGACAGACTTGCTGTTTCCATCAGGATAGATGGACAGAGTGAGCTTCTTGGGGTTCCTCATTTGAGCTCTAGTACTGGAGAAACACAGAAGAATACAATCATAAAACTTCTTCATCAATTTGATATTTTTGATAAATTACAACGATGCGTTTTTGATACAACTTCTGTAAATACTGGTAATAAAAAGGGTGTGTGCATTAGATTAGCTGCAGAGCTTGATAGACCACTACTTCTCCTAGCATGTAGGCATCACATCTATGAAAGACATATTATTCACTGCTGGAACATTTATCCAAGCAGTAAAATAAATGGTCCAGAAAATCCATTGTTTAAGAAGCTTAAAGATGTATGGAACTCAATTGATCAAAATTCCATTGTGTTAAACAAAGTAAAAATTGAAGATATTTCTGATAGCTGGCTGCAGGTACAGTTCAAAGAAGCCTTATCTTTTTCTCAAAATATTATCAGAATGAAAACAATGAAAAAGGTATTTAAAATTTTGAATAAAGTGAATACTCTATAATAAAATAAGTTTAGTAAGGTACTGTTTTGTGTCTAAATAAATAATCTTATTTAGGATGGATGTAGGTCTGATTATCTAGAGTTAGTGGAATTGACAACAATGGTTTTATCTGGTGATGAACAGTACAGGCTAAGAAAACCTGGGCCTGTACACCATGCCAGATTTATGGCAAAGGGAATATACTTTCTGAAAATGTATCTCCTTCTAAACAACATTTCTAGCTTGACAGATTTTGAGAAGAAAGAAATAAATGATATGGCATTCTTCACAGCTGTATTTTACACTGAGCGGTTTATAAAGGCTGAAATTCCGGCTGTCGCTCCATATCAGGTGACATTTCTATGTTTTAAAAGTTTTTAATCATTTTGCTTTTTATTACTTTTTTTTCTTTGAAAATTTTGTGTAATATTTCATAGTCTAAAAATCTTTAGGATATGAAAGCTCTTTGGCAGATAATGAGATACTCAAAAATCAATCCTGTCCAGGCAAAACCTGTTATAGAGTCTCTAAAGAGACACACCTGGTACATAGACCCAAATATTTTAGTTATGTCTCTTGTTGACAAAAATGTACAAGAACGGAGTGACATTGCCAAGAAGTTGTGCTCAACCCCAAGACCTACAACTTATGCCATAGAAAGACATCAAGTTAATTTAAATATACTGAACTCCCTTATGTTTAATGATGATACTCCCCCAAGTTTGACCCCGCTTATAACTGACCAGAGTTGGTTAATTTTTCATATCTTAAACCATGCAAATGCTGAAGTACAGTGGCTTAAGACTCCATCTGAGACACGGGATCTAAATGACTATTACTTAGAATTCAAACAATTTGTGAATAATCTTGAAGTAGTAAATGACTGTAGTGAGAGGGCTATAAAACTAGTTCAGGTAACTATTTTATATGTTTGGTCCTTAATGTTTATGTTAAAATCTTAATTTATTTTACAAGCTCATTACTTTTAAATATTCTTTAATAGGAGTTGATCAATAAATCGCATAATGAGGATAAAAGACAAAGTACCTTCCTCGTATCAAACAAATATAAGAGTGAAAGAACAATTAAAAAAAACGTGATTATGTAAAGAATTCTTTGTTTACAAAATAAATTTATAAACATGAACTATGTTTGACAACTAATTTCTTCAGAAACTAATCATAAATATGATTTTATTATGTAAATATAAATATTTTAATACGTAAAGTTGTTAATAAGCAGAACACTAATATAGTGCAAAAAAGCTTAAAAATGCCTTTTTTTTAATTTTTTGGTCTTCATTGTTTAAGTAAAAAAAAAAAAAATTAAGCTTACATTATATTTTTATTTCCTTCAAAAATATAAAACAACAAAAAAAAAAGAAAGAAAAATTAATTTGGATAATGGTAACACTCCCCTCAGCTAGTCCGAAATATGGGCAAAAAACGGGCAAAAAATGACCTTTGGGCTCATTGAGGGAAGTCATGGAGTGATCTAATCATGAAAAAAAAAAATTTATTAGTAATATCAAGGTTGGGGCACCTTATGAAAAGCAATGTTAGTTGAAATTCAAAAAAGTCATTTTTTTGGAACACCCTAATATATATATATATATATATATAACTTAGTAGAAAATCACTTAACAAAAATTTTTTTCATTTTACACTGTGTTTCATCAACAAAGACTCATCATAAATGAATAATCAAATTAATAAAACTTCAGTTTATACCAAAAAATTAAATTACAGGAAGTCGCAAATATTTTAACTACTGTAAATTTTCACACATTTGTGGAATTTGCTGACACTATTATAAAAAGAATTCTTTAGACATGATTTACTTATGCTTTTTTATAAAAATATTTTTAAAAAGGGGGGATTTAATGTAACTATTATTTGAGCTCACTTATTTTTATAGTTTTTTAGGAGAAACTTATTTTTGTGCCTGCATTTAGAAATTAATTTCGATTTTTTGTTTAACAAAAACATTCTTGGTTTGCATGTGTAATTAATTAAAATTTTTCTTGTAGACATAGTATGCATTTTTTGGAAATATTGTTGTATACAGGCGCTGTTTTAAGGACGGACAAATTCAGTATAAAATCATCAACATTTTTACCTTTTAGTTCCCATATATATTTTAACAGCATGGTGTCTTTTGAATATTTATTATTTTTAAAAGATAGCTTATGATTGGCAAAACGTTTTTTCCATTCACCCTCTGTTATGCCATTATATTGTTTATCGGGTGCATTCTTAGAGGAAACAACACATTTATATACTACATTTTTTGATAAACAACTTCCACTCATTGAACAATTGTTTTTTCGTTTAAAATTACAATTTTCTGTTGTTTTTTCATTTAGGATTTCTTTTTTATTTAACAAAGCATTGTTGTGACCTTTTATAGTTCTTTCCATATTTTTTGTGCAACTGTATCTAACTTTAATTGTATTTTGATTAAAAATTTTATGTAATTTATTAGAGGGAGGAAAATGCTTATCGACCATTTTTAAAAACACTTTGCCTATGTTAGTGGAAACATTTTTGCTATATGGGGGTTGAACTAAATTACATTTCTAGTTTTATTACGCTTTTTTTATTCTTTTTTTCAGGGTCAAATTTTAGTTCAAAATTTTTAAAACCACATTTTTTAAGGGCATCTTCAAATATTATTTTGAAGGAATTAAATACATTTTCATTAGAGGAGTTTTGGTTTAAGCTGTTATTAATTGAAATTGAGATTTGTTTTAGAATTTGTGGTGGATGATTTGAGTTAATATTAATATACAATAATTTATCGTTTGGTTTTTTGAAAGGCTTGTATGAATTTTAAGAGAGGTTAAATGTGACATCAAGAAAGTTCACAATTTTTAAATTTATGTTTATTTCGACTTGAAAGCCAATATTTTTTAAAAATTTTTATAATATCTTTTCGAATCTTATCGAGCTGTGGACCAGATTTTTTACGCATTACTAACTACCATCGTTGCAATAAAGGCCTAAATCATTTATATTGATTAATTTACTTAATAAATCTAAAATGTATTGTCCAACAAACTCACAAATTTCTGCTTCGTCATAACTGCCCATTGCTACATCAAAGCAGTCGCGTATGTTTTTCTTTTTCCAAGTTTCCTTATTAAAGTAAAGTAAGGTTTTTCTACAATGTTTTATTATACGGATTGTTTCTTCAGGAATAACTGTGTGGCTTTTTGCAAATTCAATTGTTTTACTTAAAACAATTGAACTTGCAAAAATTCAATTGTTTTAAATAAAACAATTGAATTTTTGCAAACAATTTTATTTGAAGGGTAAAAATTATTTATGTCAAATTGAATAAATTTACAGTCTACTTTATTTTCGATTATGGAGAACCAATTTATAACATCAGTGGTATTTTTCCACTGTTGCAAATTTAATTTATTTCTAAGAATATAATTAATTTTGTTCAATTTAATCCCCGGTACATCTCCTCCTATATAGAATACAACTAGTTCGCAGAGCTTCTTGTAGTCGCCCCTTTTAAATGTCTTTGTGGTCAGTGCCTTTTTTCAAAACTCCAAGGCATCCCTTATTTGTCGATCAAACCTGTAGCTCATTCCAATCAAACCTAATTACCTCCATCATCTTATTCACCTCCTCGTTGATGTTTTGCCAGGCTTTCTGAAGTCTTAAATATAGTGCTCTCCTGGGCCCTTTTGTTTTTTCACCAGTAAGATGAAATGTAAGATGTTTATCTCAAACATCTGTCGCCTGCAGAGAAACCAGAGAAACGGAATGTTGAGGGTATTTGTGAGGATGATAATGGCTCCAGCAAAAAACTCTAGTGTTGAAAGCAATAGTGTCACAGCATATGGCGAAGATCTGATCAACAATATTGTAATACTCTAGGAGATTTAAGATTAAATCCTGATCAACTCCCTTGGAACATTGAGCTTGAACTACTCCAAGGAGAATTTGTGTCGTCAATATCTGATGATGTAACACTAACAGAAATCCTTTCAACAGTAACAGTAATGTTTAGATTATCCTCCATCCCTTTTATTTTTTTGCTGTCGAAGTACAGGGCAAGTCTTTTTCCTTTCAATCTTTCCATTATATCTTGCGATATCTGATCTCCTAATATTCAAAATAGCTTTATTACCAATTTAATTAAATTTTTATTTATTCTATTATTTATTTCAATTAGTTATTTTTACCTAGACCTTCAATCCTCTTAAATCTTATTTGATGAACAGACCTTTTGGAGACACTTTCTCAAGATTCACGCCTGCTTTATTGCACATTGCTGCAATGATCGCGGTTTGAGGTCGAATTCCAACCCTCTACCGAGCAGATACCACAAAAGTACAATCTACTAGATTCTCAGGTCTAATATTTATCATTATCTAAATATTAAATAGAAGTGATATTTGTAATCTAATTGAGTGCAGTTAAATTTAGTTTACTCAAATTTTATACAAATAACTTAAGTTATTTTATAAAATTTTTACTCAAATTTTATACAAATAACAATTTTTTATTTACCTTGACTTTTACTGTAGAACCAAAGTTTTGAAATAATTCATCGGCATTATCTTCATCTGTGAAAACTACAGCATTTGGCTCGGATGCATATGAGTTGATATCAGAATCATATATGTACTTCATTAGGAACTCTTTTCTTTTTATCTTTTTCCGCTGTTGTAATCTTCATATTCTTCATTCTCTGCCAACAATCCTGCCTATTTTTAATTGGTGCTTCAAATTCTTTGTCTATTTCTGCAGTTATATACATTTTTCGAACCCATTTCTGGTTTAAAAAAAAACTGAATATCTTCCGCTTTGGCATCCTGGGTAAGAAGGCGACTGATTGGATTTTTTCCTTAAACCTCGCTACTCGTATATCAAAGAGTTTGGTGCTCTCTGAACGAACTCTCTCTGGATCTTAGTAAATCTATCAGTTCTGGAATCCCAGTTTAGTTCTCTCAAATGGATCAGCTTGCAATACTTAGTATGGAGTTTCAAAATCTTATTCCTTAATGATATAAAAAATCATTATATAAAGTTTCATAATTACCAAGGTATGGTTACTTTTTATAAATCATTTTAATAATATTAATGTTTGTTGATTTACTTATATTTTATTTATATTAAATTAAAAATTGCATTATTTCTTATCTGACAGGAGCTCCAGAAAGGATAAACTTTCCGAAACCAGCTTTGTTCCACATATTCATTACAAGAGAAGTAGCACGTCTGTGGTTGGGATTTTTACATAATCCACCCTTGCAGATAAGATCCTTCCCTTGAAACCTTTGAGAGCAAGCTTCAATTGGCTTATTAGATTTAAATTTCAAAGACCTTAGAGATTTGATAAACTGTATGTATCTAAGAACATTTCAAATGCTGGGAAGCTGGTTTATAGGTAACTGGTTGATAGGATACTTGAGAAGAAACAGTAGCCTTCTCGGATTGGTCTGTATCTTTCTCTTTTCTCCTTTATTTGTATATTTTGTGTGAGAACGGCTCATATTACAAAATACTATGATATCTTAAATTAAATAACATACATGAGTAAATTTAATCACCTTAAAAATCTAAAAAACATGTAATCAAAACCGAATAATTAAATTTATCTATTTAATTTTTTTGAGCACGATTCAATTAGTACATGTACTAATGGAATTGTGCTCAAAAACATGCATATTTAGAGTAAGGTTGAACAATAGTAAAAACGTAACATGCCAAGTAGCCGATGGTCAATTAAAAAGATTAATTATTTGGTTTTGGATTATTGTTTTTTAACCATCTACAAGACTATCATATATTGGTTGTTTTTTCCTTTGTTGGTGTTTGAGGATTTTTATAAAAAAAATGTGACGTGTAGGAGGAATTCTTAAAAATATCTTTTGGCTTTCTTACAAAAAAACATTCCTAAGCTTAAATATATTTTTGAATCTGCTTATTTAACATTTTGAATAAGTATGTTTCAAAAATATTCTTATAAAAAAAAATGTATCAGACTAATAATAATTTTATTCAACCAAGGCATTGTGATTAACTTTATTAAAAATAAAAATAAATTTCTCTACATAATAATTCAACATTGATGTAACGGGCATTTATTTTCAAAAAAATCAAATGAATTTTGAATTTTACAGCTATTCCTTCCTGGCGATGAGTTTTTTTTTCTTTTGATTTTTAGCCTCAGTTGACTTCAAAAAATGGGAAAACGTTGAGAGGTATCCTCGGGGGGAAAAAAAGTTCGTTTTTGGTACACCCTATGTGTACCAAAAACGTAAATGATTTATAAAATTAATGATTTATAAAAGTAAACATTTTTTAATGTTTTTAGTTACGTTATTATTTGTTATTATTATTTGTTATTATATAGACCGAAGATTGTATTTTTGTGAAAATGCTGATGTAAAAGTATCGGAACGCTTTTTTGGCAGCAAGTTATTCTTATATTTAAACATAAATATTAATATTTGAATCGAATTAAGTTTTGAATTTAAATTAAATATAAAAAATGTTTAACTAGCCCCTCTGTCTCCCACGACCATTTCGGGTGAAAGAAAATTAGGGACCAAATGTGCTACAAAAAATAGACACCCTGCTACAAAATATTTAAAAAAAAGAATAGTATAGAAAAAAAAAGTGCATATCTTTAACATTAATTTCATACCCAAAGTACAACAAAGTTTTATACGTATAAAACTTTGTTGTACTTTGTATATACATCAAAAAACTCAATAATAAAGCCATTTAGGGGCTCTCCATAAACGACGTCACGCATCTAGGAAAAGGAGGGTCTCCAGACTTTTGTGACTATCTTTGACAAGGGGATTAAAGAAGCGTGACGTCACAAAAAATGTTTTATTTGATAAAAAAAAATTTATATTGAAAACTATATATATATATATATATAATTTACTTTTAAAACGAAATTCTAAACAAATACAATTCGAAATGATACAATGAGATCTTTTATTAGACTTAATGCATTCACGCTTTAAGTAGTGACAAAAATTAACGTCTAAAAAAAGTTCCCATTTTACCATAAAACAATATAAGATAAAAAACTGAATATAAAAAAATATTTAAAAGAAGCTGTTTAAACGTACGTATTTAATATTTTTCGACCACATTTTAAAATTTGTTTCTCAATTAATTTTTAGGCGCATCTGATTTGTAAGCGCCGATAAATTTTATTTATAGAATGAACGTATTTTTCACGCGTGCGTTTTAGCATATCCTACAAAGACCACAAAGTCAAGTAGAATTAATTCAGAAGTGGAATGAAATAAAAGTTAATAAAATTTACAAATCAAAGCGGATCATTTGGTTGCAAGAACTAAATGCTCTTTCAACAAGCAAAAAAAAGGAACATTTCGGGTTTAACAAAAATCTTCCAACTTGAAATTTGCAGTATGATAAAAAAGATACCAATATTGTTAATGATGAATTAGATCCTGAGCAAAGTACTGCCCGCTCAGAAATGTAGAATTGCCCCAGCTCAACTGCAATTGCAGACAGAATGAAATTCTAAGTTCTGATTTAGTCGATTTGTGCAAGCAACAAAAATGTGAAACGCTTTTCATTTGAACAAGATGCTGATTTGAAAGAAAAGAAAAAGAAAAAAGACAATTTAGAACAGCAGTTGAATATTTATGAACATTAATCAAAGAGGAGGAGGGGGTCACCACTTTGTGACATAATATTCTAGAGGGAGTCTAAATATTTGCGACGACTTGTGACGAGGGGAAGGGAGGGGGTCAAAAATTGCAATAAATTGCGTGACGTCGTTTATAAACGGCCCCCTAGTAAAATAATAAATCTAACAGTAATAAAGTTTAACTATTCTAGTTTCTAAAAATAATCTATGTTGATATCAAAATCTAAAAAATTTTCCAATTAACACGTCTTATCTAAAAATTAACAACCCATTACAAAATTTGACATAATTTATGATTCACGTCTAATTATGCTAAAATTATTCATTATGCTAAAATGAAAATCTAAAAAAGTAGCATAGTTTTTAGCACAAAATTCGGTTCCGTAAAACGCAGATTTCCCCGTACCTGCATTAAAAATCAAACTGATTCACTTGACATACTTGCTATACTATTGTAAGTTATGCAAAGTAAGCAAAGCTTTTGGCAATAGCTAGAATAAGTATATAAATAAATAATATATAATTTTTTTTATAATCCTTCTATATAAAGTTCGAAGCGAAATGTGTGTTTCTGATGAAAACAAAGAGATTTTAACAATAAAACTTATCAATAAGCGTTCAAAAAATATACTAATAAGCTGTTGTTACAGGCCACCAACTGGAAGAATTGAAAACTTTGGCAATTTTTTACTAAATAACATAATAAAGAAATCTGATCTTGAAAAGAAAAAAAATTACTTGATCGGGGATTTCAACATAAACTCCTTTGATTATTATGAAAATCAAAGTTCGAGAAAATTTTTTAATGGCTTGTTTGAAACTGGAACAATACCTTTAATTAATCGCCCGACTAGAATCACAAGTCATTCATCATCATTAATTGATAACATTTTAACAACCGATTTTTTTAATAAGTCGCTAAAAAGGGGAATTATAAAAACCGATGTTTCCGATCACTTCCCGATTTTTTTTTCTATTTGTGTTAATTTAAAAAAAAAGAAGCAGGGAAAGGTATTAATAAAAAGACGGCATATCAACAATTATAACTTAAATTCTTTCAGAGAACAATTATCACATATAGATTGGGGTTATATTAACTTTAATGTTTAATGTAAAAAAACTTTAATAATTAATAATATCAACATAATCTACGACAATTTTTTCAAAATTTTTTACCAAGTGTATGATTCCAACTTCCTTTAATTGAAATAGTTTTAAGTGATAAAGAAATGTCATCTCCTTGGATTACTAAAGGTATCAGAAAATCATCAAAAATTAAGCAGAAGCTATACATTAAATACCTAAAATCAAAATCAAAAAAACATAAACAAAATTATAAAACTTATAAAAACTTATTTGAAAAGCTTCGCAAAAATGCAAAAAAAAACTACTATTCAAACTTGCTTAATAAATATAAGCACAACTCAAAACGCGTCTGGCAAATCATGAAGGAGGTGTCTGGAAAACTTAAACCAAATAAAAATTTACTCCCAAATTTTATACAAATTGAAAACAAATTAATAAATGACCCAAATGATATTGCATTTGAATTTAACAAGTTTTTCTCCACTGTCGGGACAAAATTAAGCGATAGTATTTCATTTATTAAAGATAAATCTGTTGATGAGTTCGAAACATCAATAAGTTCTAATCTAAATTTTACTGAGTTAGCTTTTAATGAATTTGAGGTTGCTTTTAAGTCATTAAAACGAAATAAAGCTACTGGGTATGATGATATTAACACAAATATTGTGATTGATTCATACGATGTTATAAAAGATCTTCTTTATAAAATCTTCAGAGCATCCATTTTACAAGGGTCTTTTCCAGATAAACTAAAAATAGCGAAAGTAACTCCAATCTTCAAGACAGGGGATCGTACAAATATAACAAATTATCGCCCTATTTCAGTTCTTACAGTTTTTTCAAAAATTTTAGAAAGAATAATGTACAACCGAATCTACTCTTATCTTGTTGAAAATAAAATTCTATACGAAAACCAATTTGGTTTCAAAAAAAATAATTCAACCGAGCATCTTCAACTTACGCGCAATATAACCGACTCATTTAAAGACTCTTGTTTTACACTAGGAGTGTTTATTGATTTGTCCAAGGTATTTGATACCGTCAATCATCAAATCCTGTTAAAAAAACTAATATCATATGGTATTAAAGATAAAACCCTATTATGGTTTGAAAGTTATCTTACTAACCGTAAACAGTTTGTTTACAATAAAGATTCTATATCTCATCTATTAATGAATATAACATGTGGTGTTCCACAAGGATCCATACTTGGTCCTCTTATTTTTTTAATATACATAAATGATCTTCATAAGTCATCAAATTTAACAACAATAAATATTGCAGATGACACAAATTTGTTTTTGACTCATAAAGATATTAATATGCTTTTTACAAATATGACAAATGAATTAAAAAAAGTTTCTGTTTGGTTTAAACAAAATAGATTGTCTCTAAATATAGAAAAAACTAAATGGACACTTTTTTATCCACCTTTTAAATACCAGAAACTGACCCATATCATGCCAGACCTTCTAATTGATAATATAATAACAAAAAGAGAAAAAGTTATTAAATTTCTTGGAGTATATATTGATCAAAACCTATCTTGGAGAAATCATATTGATAATACCTCCAATAAAATTGCTAAATGCATCGGAATTCTCTATAAAGCAAGAAATATATTAGGTAAACATCAGTTAACACATATTATTCATTTACATATATTATTCATTTATACATTGTCATGTAAACTACGCGAATATTATGTGGGGAAGCACTCACAGAACAAAGCTAAAATCTCTTTACCTTCATCAGAAACACGCAACTCGCGTAATAAATTTTAAAAATCGGTTTTTTCACACAAAACAACTTTTTAAAGAAATGAATGTTTTAAATGTATATCAACTAAATGTTTTTAATATTTTATGTTTCATGTTTAAATGTAGAGAAAATTTGTCGCCAAATGTATTACAAAATTTTTATTGTATGAAACCTAAAAACAAATATAATTTTCGAATTAATAACAGCCTTATTGCCCCTTTTTGTCGTAAAAGCAAAGACCAGTTTTTTGTTTCTTACCGAGGTCCTTATCTCTGGAACAAAATAGTCTTACCAAATTTTGATTTTTCAACCCAAATGACTTTTGCTTCATTCAAACAGAAACTTAAAAAAATTATATTTTTAATTGAAAATATCTTGATTTATTTTTAATTGCCTTTTTTTTGTTTTGTTTTTGTTGTTGTTTTATTTTGTATATTATTTGGTTTAAAATTTTATCTTGGCTTTTTAACATTTTATCTTGGTTTTTAAAAATTTTTGCATAGAGGTGTATTATTATTTAACTACAGACATTGTATTTTTATTAAAAGTTAACCATATATTATAAAGGGCTTCATGACAAGATCCTCATGATCTTCTAGAAGTCCTGTCGTTACTAATGTAAAAAATTGTAAAATATATTTAGTTATTGTAATATTAAACGGCAAAAATAAAAATAAAAAATAAAAATAAAAATAATTAAAGATATAAAAAATAAATATATATATGCATTTTATAATGCATTATAATATGATAATATCCAGAGTCGTAAAGACTGTATATGCCAAGACCAAGACATTTTGATTCAATAGTAAGACTAAAAACAAGACAGTTAAATTTACAAACCAAATATAAACAATTACAAATATAAAATTACATCATTTACACCTGTACTACTGATATTAGAAATAAAATAAGTAGAAATTTCATTTTTTTAACTAAGTTTTTTTTTAAGGCTTTATTATTTGTAATAAAATTTTACTATTTCACATAGTGTTACTTGAGAAATGTTTTGTGACAAGTTAAAAATTTACAAAAAACACTAAAAAAAGTTATGTATAGGTGTTAACAGTTTTAAATCCAGGGCCTGAACATATTAAAATTTTTCCATAAATATTTATTTTTAAACTCATTATATTCCCTAAATACGGCGCTTTTTCAGTTTCTTAACCCTACCATTTTATGATTGATTTCGATAGAGAATTTAATGCTGATTAAGTATCATTTAAAAACATTGACCTAAAAATTTGAGCAAAGTGCTTTAATTTAATGTTAAAGTTTAAAAAATTACACTGATAAAAATTACGCTTAAACAATGATATAACTAGAAGTCTAACTTTGATTCGAAAAATGAAACCACTTTTTTGCCCTTTTTACAAATGGCGGATTAAATTTGTGAATAAATATTTTGAAATTTTCTTTTCTTAAATGAAGTAAATATATTATAAATTTAAATACTATTTACGCAAAAGTATTAGGCGGAAATTATAATACTTATAAAATAATAATTTATGATTTCTTAATTTATTTTCGATTAAAAACGGATTGAAGTTTTCAATAGAAAAATGAACCAAAAGGCGCTTTTGAAGCATTTTTATGAGTTAAAGTACTTTTAAATAAACATAGGCTAATAAAAAAAACTTTTATAAGTATTTTATAATTATTAAAATTTGTTTTTGAATTATCTTTAATTTATTGGGAATTTTTGAATTGCATTTTTAACTTTTATTCCTCAGCTTTTGCCCTTTTTATAAATGGCGGACTATTTTTATAAACAAAAAAAACCGGCTTCACTTTTTGTCCAATAAAATCCCGCAAGTTAGACATCTGGTTATATAATATATATAATTGCACTAAAAACGCCTTTTTATCGATTTTTATTTAGAAATCAATAGTTTAGAATATCTTTTTTTTTTTAACTATGCAACCCGGTTTTTGTTGTCGTCATTATTGAAATTTATTTAAATTCAGTTTAATATTATGAGTATATATATGTGTGTATATATATATATATATATATATATATATATATATATATATATATATATATATATATATATATATATATATATATATATATATATATATATATATATATATATATATATATATATATATATATATACACATATATATACAGTCGTGTGCAGTAAAATAGTAGTGCGTATTTTATTTTTCTATCAACAAACTTTGAATATCAAAGTATATTTTTCTATTGTTTGTTTTTTATTGTTATTGTTCATAAACTAAATGTTGTGATTATAATAGTATAAAAAAAAATTTAAGAAAAATAATTGCAGCACTGTATGGTTTTAAATTTCAATATTAACGATTGAAGGTCATTCGTATTTTTTTTTTAGACTGTGCAATAAAATAGTAGTGACAAATTAATTTTTGTGTAATAATTGCTGTACTTATTAAATTCTAATTATTATTAGTTCTTAATAATAAGTAATAAGGAAGTAATTAATTTTGATATTAGATAAATTTATACACTTACTAAAATTTTGAAATTTTATAGAAACATGGGGTGCTCTAAGTATTGTACTGAAGAAGTTCGTAATTTAATTATAAATCTTAAAAATCATCGTAAAACCTACAAACAAATACAAGAATTGGTTGGATGCTCACCAACAATGATTTGTAATGTTTTAAAATGGAAACCCAAACCAGAAAAACGTGGAAATAAAAGATCAACTACCGCAATAGATCGTTGTATTGTATTGTAGCAATAAAGGAGCCATTTATTACTTCTAGAAAAATTAAAGAAAGGCTAGAATTAAATGTTAATACCTCAACTATTCGAAGAAGATTAATAGATGCCGATTTAAATGCAAGAACACCTAGAAAAGTGCCACTTTTGAGTAAAAGACATATCAAAAATCATTTAAAATTTGCACGTATGCATGCTTCTTGGCCTTAAGAAAAAATGCGAAATGTTTTGTGGACTGATAAAAGCAAAGTTGAAATTTTTGGTTCCCATATTCGTAAACAGTATGTTAGAAAACCAACGGGTGCAGCATATAAGCCACAATTTACATTAAAGACCGTAAAACATGGAGGTTCAAAAATAATGATATGGGTTTTTCTTACTATGGTGTTAGGCCTATACATCGCATAGAAGGTATCATGGATCGGTTTGT